GCGGGCCGGCAGAAAGGGAGGCGGGTGAGGGGGACTGGGCCATCCCGGGACCGCGTAGTGGGGCTGGGCCCTGATGTGCTAGCACGCAGAACTCAGCTTTCTTTAAAGTTAGCGGTCGGAGCTTCGGGATTTGTAACACACGCATCTTTTATTTTTGACTTTAGTAGCCAGGAGATGACCCAAGCTTTTTCTGCGCCAGGAAAGGCAGTGAGTCTGTTTCACCCTGTCCCTGGGGTTCTAAAACAGTGTGTTGAGCGGGGGGTAAGGGGCGTGCGGTCGCGGTTTTGTTGATTCTCCCTGTCCTCTCAGGTGTCCGCTCCAGAGGGACAGTTCCTTCATTTTTGCTGGCAAAATATTTCAGAGAAACGAGTCTATACTAAATGCATCGTTTACTAATGGACCTAAAAGCATCTGTACACGAGTTCTCTTGTTCACTCTTAAGCGGTTTTAGTTTTTTTCGTTTCTTGCAGGCACTGCTTTGCCTTCCTTTGTCTCCTTAACTGTATAAGTCGGCTTTCATCTGGCTTGATTCTACCTATCATTCTGAACGGCACTGCTTTTGGTTTGTTTTTCTTCTACTGGTTTTAGAAAGTTACAAAGATCTTTGCAATTTACAAAGTAACTAAGATTTTACTCGGGACTTGTATACCGTTGGCAAGCCTTTCAGTGATTTCTGGATCTCATCACTTCCCTGTGTTACATGGCTGGAAGAAGCAGGAACACTGACTCCCATACACTGTGGTACTGTTTGCTGGGGCGAGGGGATTGGGGGAGATGGAGTGAAGAAAGAGTAGACTTGCTTACCCCTTTCTTTTTAGGTATTATTTTGGGTATGTAAGGCTGTATGAGGAACACAGTTAAGGGTGGAAAACAGTTTAACTTCGGTCAGATTACCTTAAATGTGAAAATCATCATGTTTAAGAATACAGTTGTATAGTCACAAGATGATACCTTAGTAGTACACAGAATGCTGGTACTTGGAAAAATCAAAGTAGAGGACCAGGGATTTAGCTTAGTGGTGCCGCCATGAGCCTTGAAAGCTCAAGGTCCTGAGTTTGAAGTTTGATCCCTGGTAACCAGCGCGCGCGCCCCCATCAAAGTAGAAAAAATGGTTGTTTTTGAGGGTCTCTGTTAATGCTGGTAAAAACATACACGATGGGGTCATTTTCCTTCTAACATTCTGCTAAATGACTTTTTAGGTCATACATCGTCTGCCCTCCACTAATCCTTGGATTCTTTGAAGATTCTTCTGTTCTTAACCATGTGTAATACAATTGCTGGTCCTTACAGTTGTTTATTCCATAAACACTTTTTACTGAGTGCCAAGTGTGTGGGGGGGTATTATTGAAGATCCTGGGGCAAGAGAAGTGCACAAAACAGAGAACCACTGTCTGGAGCAGCTAATGTTCTCAAGGGGAGACCTTGGGTAAACAGTAGTGTGTGTGACTTGTGTAGGAGAGCCATGTGGGCAATGCAGAAGGGGATTGGAATTGCAGCCAGGACACCAAGGAAAGGTATGGCTCTGAAGGTTACATTTTTACCCACATTGAGAAGCATGACAGGACATAGGACAAGAGAGTTAATCTGAGAGCAGCAAGGAGATTTGTGTAGCTAGAAGCAGTGGACAGGGACAAGAGAAGCAGGAGCCGAGGGCAGAGAGGTGACTTGGCCCTAGTTCTGAGGCCTTGCTATGTCACCGTGAATACTTGCACATTTACTCTGAATAGGGTGGTGATCCTTTGGGAGATTTTGAGAGCAGTAACATGATCAAACTTATGTTTAACAAACTCTGGCTCTGGCTCTGTTGAGAATATACTGCAGAAGGATAAGGATGGAAGTAAGGAGACCAGTTAAGAGTCCATTTCTTTTTTTTTCTGGTGCTGGGGATTGAACTCAGGTCCTTGTGCTTGTAAGGCAGACCACCGAACCACTGAGCTAAATCCCTGGCCCCTAAGAGTCCATTTCAGTAAGCCTGGCAAAGAGCTACTGGAGACTCAGCTCAGGATGGGGAGAAGAGGTTGGATACTGATGTGTTGTGACGGTTGAGACAATAGGATTTGTTTACAGATGGAAAGCTAGGAGGAGGGTAGCAGGGAGGGAAGAGTGAGCAATGGCAAATGCCTATGTTCAGACCAGCAGGGAGCCCCTGCATGGTGGGCATTGTTCAGACTTTGCTGGGTGTGAGCTACCTAGATGTCTGTATAGCTGTGTTCCAGGGCCTTTGAGGCCACAGGCTTGGAGTTAAAGGAATAGGCCTAGCTAAGGATGTGCACGAATCCGCACTAGATGAGGTTTTCCCAGGTCTTGAGTGTGGGTAGGTGGCCGGGCAGAGAGCCCAAGCTGCTGGCATGAGGAGGCCCAGGAGGTGGCAGTCAGGTACAATTTAGTTGTGTTTTCCACCAGTCCCCAGCACTGTCTGTAAAAACATCCTTCTGGTTCAAAGCACTCTTAGGTACCAGTACCTACATAATTAGTAGTCAATGGGAACAAAACTTATATTAATAATTTACACATTCCCCTGGTTGAGCATCCCTAATCCAAAATGCAAAACCTTTTTGAGCTCCAGCATGATGCCACAAGTGGAAAAATTCCACATCTGACCTCATGAGATAGGTTGTGTTCAAAACACTTGTATCTTTTACTAATAGTATTATATGAATACTTTAGACTATGTGTCTGAGGTGTATATGAAACATAAATGAATTTCATGTTTTGGTTTGGGTCGGATCATGTATATGTAAAATACTCCAAAATCCAAAATATAAAACACTTTTGGTGTTTTGTACTCAAGGATGCTCAGCATGTATAAGAGTTTCAGTTTGTAGGATTGTGCATAGTTGAGTCTAGTCTACTAGCTTATGATGTCAGTGAAGCCTGCTTGCTGCAGAGCAGTGGGTTTTAATGTGGACATTCAGTTCAGTGTGTTTACTGTGGCACTGTTTTTTAGTTCTCTGACATAGCTGAAGTTTTTACTTTCTTTTTCTCTTCCTTGTACATACAAGCTGCTATTTTAATCATACTTCTCTCAAGGAAGGGGAGAACCTTTCTGCTGAATTGATTTATAATCTTGTGGGGAATCTTTCAAATTGGATGCATCACAGTAAGCTCTAGAAGAAATCTACTGGTTGGACATTTTTTATAGTTCTTCCTGCTTGAACAACACTGTGGTTGGTACTGAGTGGAGAGAAATTAGTTAAATTTATTGAGGACAATTCTCTGTTTTTCTACCTACCAGATTAATAATATTAAATCACATTGCTTTTTTTCATGTTAGAATTAACCACTTTATTAGATACTTTCTGCTTCCTCTTCCAGTTGTGATGATAGAAGTTCCAAGAAGAGGGTGTAGAAAGTCCAAGCCCTTTGGGTGCAGGTGACCACATGGAGATTCTTTCCAAGGGGGTGTCCTTCCCAAACTGGACGAGCCTCACCTGCTGTTGTGTTTCTCTTGCATCTCATGTAATGTCACATTATCATCCTTGTCTGGGAGTCAGCAGAGTGGCTTTCTTTTCAAGGCTTGCCTCTATCTCAAGAGCCATGTGTACTGCTTCATAGGTGACAAGAGATGCCGTGAAAAGATAATGAGGTTTTGATGAGGACTGAAGCAGTACTTGGGAACCTCTGGAGAAACGCAGAGGCTGCTGGCTGTGGTCTGAGGGGAATCGAGAGTGACGGCCTCCTGCTGGTCAGTCCCTATAAATAGCAGAGGCTGTGAGCTTTAGTTTTGTAGCTGAGCAGAGCTGCTGGTGTTGCCCCACTTCACAGGCAAGGAGAGTAAGGCTAGGGAAGTTGAGGCTAGCAAGTTGGCTGTTTTCAGATAGACGCTTAATAGAAATTAGAAATCAAGTGTTATTTTGAAAAATATCTCCTTCCTACCCCAAAGGTCAGGGAACTCAGTGGCTCAGTCCACAGCCTCAGCCTATGTTCTCTGAGTGATGCCTCATCCATTGCACCTCATGCATGGTGTCTTCTTCTTCAGCAGGAGCTGTGGTTGTGCCCTGCAAAGTGGGCTAGCTAGAAGGGCCAGCCAGTGTGTTCCCTCTTGTCTTCCAGTGCAGGCAGGGTCTTCTGGACACAGAGTGAGAAATCCTTGGTTTGTTCTTCCAGTAGGATTCAGTGCACGTCCACAGGGTCCTTTTGCTGACTGTCTTGGGCTGCAAGCTCACCTGAGTCCACCTGAGCAGTGGCATGGCTGACTTTTCTTTAAATGCAGTCACAGCTCTTTTTTTCAGCAAAGTTTGTTACATTGGATTTGGTAAAGAAACTCACATGTTTGGTTTGGTTTCTATTTGCATTGCTCTGGGTGTTGCCTCTCATCTTGGGAACCCAGTGTGTTTTATCTATAATGTTACCCATTTCCAAAGGAATTCAAGAAGGATGGTCTTGAAGATGTCTTTGTTCCCTGCATGGTTCAGAGCTCTTCCCATTTTACCAGTGAGAAAACTGAATACAGAAAGGTTACCAGTTTAGGAGGATCACATGCCTGGTTGCTAGTGGCCTTAGACCCCAGGCTGCACAGGTAGGCTCTGGACCACCTCTCCACACTGCCTGGAATGTGTTGTCATCCTTCAGAGTGAGAGAAGTGCAGGTGTCCAGTCTGAAGAAGGTGCATGTAGTGGCAGGAGTGAGGGGGACAGAGAAAGAGAGCACTTCCCTTGTGAGTCCTGGGGTGTGTTCACATTCCACATAGGGCTTGACTGGGGAGTGTGGAGTGGAGTGGGAAGCTCAGAGGTCTGGAACTTCCCCTCCACAGAAGACCCATGGAGCATGAGGTTCTGGGCAGTTTGTCTGTGGCTTAGGTGATGGATGGATGGATACTGTTGTTTTGCTGCTACTTTGAGTGTGCTTGTCTCTGGATAGTGTTTCTTCATCCTCAAGCTGGCTTTTGGTTCAAGAGGCCTATAATTTTCATAATTAAAGTAAGAAATTTTGTGATGTATTTGAGCTTAATAGGATGCCTCTGATTACCTTCCCTTTGAAGTTAGCTTCCTCTCCTATAAAGTTTGCTAATAAACTTAAGAAATGTGCCTGCTCTGCATTTTGCTGCTTCAAGGGTAAGGATCCTCACCTTCAGAAATGCCAAGACAGATTGTGACACTGCTTTCAGAGTGAGCTGTTTTCTTCTTCCTTATCTATGTGTCTCCTTTATTATTTATATATTTCATATGGGAAGCTGGATACCATAGTTCTCAATTTCCCAATTATTATTATATATATATATTTTGGTACCAGGGATAGAACTCAGGACATTGCACCTGCAAGATGGACATGGTGCCACTGAGCTAAATCCCCAGCCCAGCTTCTCAATTCTGATAACTTCCTGTACAGACTTGTATTGACCCACCGCTGTGGTCCTTTCCCTAATGGCAGATGCCTTGTCCTGTGTAATGGTCTCAGAGAAATCATCCAGAGCACTCCTGGCTGCCTAATACTTTACCAGATAACATAGCTTCATTTAAAGCTGGGGTCCTGGAAGGGCTCAGACATGAGGAGAATGTTCCAGCAAGATTGGACTTGCTTTCCTGTAGTGCTGTAAGTTGGAATTTGACAGGGTTTTTGCCTTGAGAGTAGCTTTCTGGGTTTGAGTCTACATATTAGATAAAGCCTAATTGAGTATACTTAGTGGTCAAAGAACAAAAGTGATTTCTGAAGACATGAGGTGGTTTAAGAGAATAGGGATGTCATGAAAAGATAGGTGTGAACTTTAAATCATCCCTATGTAGTTTTTTGTTTTATTATACAGTGGCTAGGGATTGAACTCAGGGCCTTATGCTTGTTAGGTAAGCACTTTACTACTGAGCCACACCCCTAGTTTCCCCACCTTAGTTTTGATAATCATATGCAAGAAACAGTCTTATCTAAAAAACAGGAAAAATAAACTTGCGCTTTATGTTCACCAAGTAGCCCAGATGACACTCCCTGAATGCATGTTGGTAAAAACACACAAGAGCAGAGCTCCTAGACAGAACTGTCTGGGCCTAGTCTCTGTGACTCTCGGGGCCCACTGTGGAGTTTGGGAAGCCTAAGCCATACTTCAGGAAAAGTAGAGCTGGGTCCAGTGCCCTGGGTAGTTGCTGGGGAACCTGGATTGGAAACTAGCTTTGTCCTGGACTAGCTGCTGGGTATAGTCCCTCATGGATCTACATCCTTGATATAAAGGACAAAAGCTAACATTGGTGCCCTTCTCTCTGTGGCTTGGACCTCTGGGAAGTCTTTTAGGGAAGCTTCACAATCCTGTATTGAAGCTGTCTTGTCATTATCCCATTTTATGGATGAGGAATCACCACACCTAGAAGTTAAGTAAACAGACTAAGGACCTATAACTAGGATTTAAACTCTGGCCGTCAGGGCGAAGAGATAGCTCTCTGCTCTCTGCCTTCCTTGGGGGACTGCGCACCTGGGGTGCTATGCCTTGGAGTCCACATCAGGGGTACTTAGGAGCACTCTAATAGGGTGCATGTTTTAGCTACAGTTTCACCTTACACAAGGCCAGTATAAACTGGATGGAAAGCTGTTTTTATGCAGTATGAGGACAAGGATGAAGAAACTGCAGATGTGTTATTCTGTCTGTTCATGTGAAGTTGCAAGGAGCTACTGTGCAAATAGGGGTTCATTGCAGGGTGATGAGGCCTCAGGAAATTTTTGTGTCTTTGTATTCTTCACTATTTTTTAATAGTTACATATGATATTCTTCCTGAAAGGGAAGATACTATCAAAGATAAATTCAGATGTGAGAGAAACTCATGGTGTCTGTAATTTTCAAAAACTCTCCATGAGATGGGGTGAAGGGTGTTAATGGTCAGGCACTATTAAGGCAGGGAAGGGCTATTTGTTCAGTGTCCCTTGTTCTAAGGAAGGAGCTCGTTGCTAGAGAGATGCCTTGGCCCTTGGTGCCACCCAGAACTTGCTGCTGGCTGGCTGGCACCTTCTCTTTGGGACCTGTACCATTCCTCAGCCATAGTTCTGAGGATAGCACCCAGGGCCTTCCTAAACTTCTTTCTTTTTTGGTGGTGCTGGATTGAGATTGAACCCAGGGGCTTGTGTGCTAAGCTCTTATCACTGAGTGACATTCCCACTAGCTATAGTAGCTTTGTTTATTTGTTTTTGAGACAGGGTCTCACCATGTAGTTCAGGCTGGCCTTGAACTCTAGCCCAGGCTGGCCTCCAACCTGCTTGTGATCCTCCTGAGTGCTGGGATTATAGGTGTGAACCACCATGTCTAGCCTATGGTAGTTTTAAAATTTTATTGTTGAGACAGGATTTTGCTAAATTACCCAGGCAGGGCTTGAATTTGTGACCCTTCTGCCTCAGCCTCCCCAGTAGCTGGGCTTACAGACATGTGCCAGCATATCTAGCTTCCTAGGTTCTTAGTTGAAACTAAAATAGGTAAGATGGCACTCAGGGCTCGTCAATACAGCAGGTGGACACCATAGCTGGTGGCCAGCTCCTTCCTTAGACTCTGGGCATTGCTGTGTGGAGGCTGGTAGTGACAGTGCTTTTCAACAGCAGTGTCAAAGCGAAAACCTGGCCCAATCCTTATCTCTTAGGCTCTTGGGACCTGGCTCCATTGGGGACGTCACAGTGGTGTCTGTCCCTCATGTCCCACTGGAGTAGCACTCTATCCCTCTATGGTTAACTGCACGAACCAAGAAAGTTAGGTGGCCTGGAAACCTCATTTCCCAGGAGCCCAGTGACTCTCACCCTTGTCATACATCCTTGAACACACTGCCTTGTGCATTAGGTCACCTTAGAGGGCCGTGAACATGTATGGTTCCCTGGTGTACAAAGACAACAGTGTGACTTCATTTTTCTTGTGTAGCTTACAGTTTACACATTTTAGAACTAAAACATTCAAGTGTGTGAGTTGAGTGACCTCTTTCTTCCAGCCAGACCCTCGGTGGGCAGCTGTCCTCTGACAGTCCTAGGTGCTCACAGGGCCTTGATTGCTATGGGGATACAAGTGTGCCCTGCTTGGGAAGCGTCTACTACTGAGCTCTCCAGTAGTGCATGTATTTGGAGGTTGAATGCTCTGGTATTCTGTGTAATAATCACAATTGATAGATGTGTTTTTTTGGTTTCCACAGCCACTCTTACCTATGACACACTCCGGTTTGCTGAGTTTGAGGATTTCCCCGAGACCTCCGAGCCTGTTTGGATCTTGGGCAGAAAATACAGCATCTTCACAGGTATTGGCCACGTTGGAACCACTCTTCTCTGCTTGCTGTGTGCTTACTCTCCTGTGGTGTCTGGCTTATAAACTGAAGTTTCTGTGTGTCTTCTTCTTTTCAACAACCCTAGAGAAGGATGAGATCTTGTCTGATGTGGCATCCAGACTGTGGTTTACATACAGGAGAAACTTCCCAGCCATTGGTGAGTACCCCTGTGGGGCAGGGAGGAGGGAGGCTTCCAAGTGCCAGACCCCTCCTTCCAGTCCCCTCATAAGTTGGCCAGCAGTGGCTCAGCTGGAGTCACACCCAGGCAGCTCATCTCAGCAGGCCAATGAATTTCCACCTGTAAGTCTTTGCTCCCTTAGGGTTCATGGCAACATTTTACAAAGTTTGCAGTTTGTTTTTGTTTGTCTCTGTTATTACTGGTGCTGGGGATAGATCCCAGGACTCGGTGTGTACTAGGCAAACACTGTACCACTGTGCTTCATCCCCAGTCCCCATAACAATATTTTAAACATATTTAAAAGAGTGACGTATGAAACAGTGTTAGCCATAGTGAGGCAGCACCCTGCTCAGCAGATTGAGGATGACCCTTGTACTTGAATGCATGCCCTTGATCAACTGTACAGTAGTCCTCACATAGGTCCGAGATGTCTAGAAGCCTTGCTCTTCCTCCATCTTTCCCAGCATGTATGTGTGTATGTGGCCGTGGGGACAAAGGTGAGGTGAATTGACATTTTTCATGTCACCTGATTCTTGCTGTATGCCCTGGAGGTGGATGAAGGTTGGGGATTAGCTCTCAGCCTTGCCTTTGTAGTTGGATCTTAGGGACCAAGCTGACATTGCACCACCCCATGCCCAGGTCATTTAATCAGTTCCTCCCCTAGATAGCATGTCAACTTTCTCCCACAGCCAGGTGAAACTGAAGTAGACACAGCAGCTGGCATTCAGAGGAAGCAAGACCCATGTCCCCATGGCTAGTGTCTGGTATTGTAATTTGTCAGGCATGGTTCTACAGATGTGCAGCTCACCCTTCTCTGAGCCTCTTCTCTATGTGGCCCTGGTGCTGATCCTCCAGCTCTGGGCAAGCGGACACGGCCTGAGACACCTTCACCACTTGGCCCACTGTGGAGAGAGGCTGACAGTGAGCCACTGTGGGTGAAGCTACTTTTGCAGGCCTGCACCTGAACTTGGCCTGTGCCCTGTAGATATGTTTGTATGGGAGGAGGGGTGTGTGGAGGGCAGGGCTGCTGCCTGAGCTGTGAGAGCACACAGTTCCCCTGGCCTGGGGGGCAGGGCTGTAGTGCCCCCTGCTCTGACTATTGCATCTACCACTGCCTCAGCCCTCCTCCTTGTCATGGCTGCACCATGCCATTCCATTGGCTTCCTGTCATGGCCACGGGATATTTCCCACAGTTCCACAGTGCTTATCTTCTGTTTCCCTGGCCTGGTAGTGGACAGGAAATGACAGGGCTAGGGCACATGTGCTTAAAGGGTAGGAGTAGTTCCTGACCACTGTTGCCCAGCCCTTGCCCATTCTCAAAGACACTAATGTCCTTTGAATCTTGACCTTTCTAGTAGCTGGGAAGTAGTTCTCCTTGTTGAACATGGTAGTTTTGGATTGGCTGTGGGATACTGTCTGTTCTTAAATTTTTGGACATTCCTCGTGCCCTGTGGGTGACTTGTCCCCACCCTCTTGCCCATCTTAAGGACTTATCAATTAGCATACTTGGCCCTTGTGTTATTAAGCCCTCAGGTGTGTGAATCCTGAGACTGAGTAAAGTAAGAGGCTGGTGCCCCTGGTGTGGAGCATCTGTGGACCTCTGATGCTGAATGAGCCTCTCTCTGTACACCATGACAGGGGGAACTGGACCCACCTCTGACACAGGCTGGGGCTGCATGTTGCGGTGTGGACAGATGATCTTTGCACAGGCCCTGGTGTGCCGTCACTTAGGCAGAGGTAAGTTACAGCATGGGTGTGGTAGGGGGTGCTGGGGGTTGAGGGATATTTAAAGCATATCACAGGTAAAACCTCAGATGCTGAGGGTTGGGTGCAGAGATGTTTAAAGCACATCACAGGTAAGACCTAAGGTTTGCATTGATTTAAAAGCCTGATATTGGACTGGGGATTTAGTTCAGTGCTTCCTCTGCCTGCCTCGCCAGCACAAGGACCTGAGTTCGATCCCCGGTACCTAAATAAATAAATAAATAAAATAAAATAAAAGCCTGATATTTATATCTTTAGAAATTGTTAAGGTACTGGAAGTATTCTGTGCTGTTAGTTTGTTTTGATAAATTGGTATATAGGTACTTGAAATCCTAGAGCATTTGGCTTAGATTTAGAAGGTGTGGGGCCTGTCTGACTTTTGAGTGCTGTGTAAAGCCAGACTCATTTCTCTGGGTACGGTCAGACTAACCACCTGCATTTATTCCCAATAGACTGGAGGTGGGCACAACGGAAAAGGCAGCCTGACAGCTACTTCAGCGTCCTCAATGCTTTCCTTGACAGAAAGGACAGCTACTACTCCATCCACCAGATAGGTGGGCTGGCTCCATGGAGAGGCAGCATCTCCCCAGGGGCTGGTCTGGGTGGGTGCAGCTGACTCGTCCTGACAGGTGCAGAGCAGGCAGCCTTGAGCACTGTTCCCCTCCTGGAAGGACCAAGGGTAGAGCTGAGTGGCTGGGGCTTCAGGCATTACCTTCCCCATCCCTCCTAAGTCTCACTGGAGCACCCCTCTGGAGGGCGGGACTATCTTGGCCTCCCCGTGAATATTTCCTACTACCATGTCACATGGAGGAGTGGGTGGGAGGGGCATTGGAGGCTGCAGTAGATGCATGTTGCTAATCTGGATCTGCTTCCTGCAGCACAAATGGGAGTTGGCGAAGGAAAGTCCATTGGCCAGTGGTATGGCCCAAACACCGTCGCCCAGGTCCTCAAGTACGTTCTGAGCTGCAGCCTGCCCGCTCCTCTGGGTAGCCTGTTTCCCTTGGTGTTTACATTCTTGGGCTCTTATTGACAAGGGGGACAAGGGGCTCTAGGAGAGTCTTCAGAGGTGACCAGGCCAATGGTTGTGGGATTTATGTTTTCTATGAAACAAGTACCTTACCTGATTGTGTGCATAGGATTAGGCCCTTGGGTCCATCTGTAAGGGTGGTTTCTGATGGTCTGGAAGTGGAAGCTGATCTGGAACCACAGTAGTTCTGGTGGCTGTCTGTGAGGGTCTGTGAGGCTGTCTGTGGCCCTTGCGCTTTGGGCCTATCAGAGGTTCCTTCCCTTGTGTGTGCCCCAGGGTCTGGGCTTCATCTGCGCTGGCCCCCTGTCCTGAAGGTACTGTGCCTCCCTTGCCTCCGCATTGGTCCCTCTGAAATGGCTCCTTCTGTGTTGCCAGGAATCAGCCACTTCTCAGTCCTCCTTGCTCTTTAGAGTTATGTAGCCTGGTACACCCCTGGTGTTTATCAAGTAGCCTCTTCTCACCCCGACCCCTCCCCTTGAAAGGTCCCTGTCTGTACCCAGCTCCTCTTAAGAGATTCTTCTCTCTTGTATCCGCCTTCCTGCCATCTTGCTATACCTTGGCCTGGTCTGTCGGTGCCATTCAGAATCTTTGCCCAGGCCTGGCCTGCCCCAGTTTGTACATGTAGCCCACATACCCCCCATTCCTTCATGATGCTTCCTGTGCTTTTGGAGTGTCCAGAGCCACATACTATCCTGTCAACCAGCAGCAGCCCTTCGCACGGTGCTTGTACCTTTTCTCAGCCACACTGCTCCTCCTGTCGTCTGGGCGCCTCTACCTCTTACTTGTTCTTCCTCCAGTGAAGCCCCTCCTGGGGGCCCAAGGGGCATATGGCCCTCCCTGCCTATTGCTTCTGCACAGGGACCACATGTACTCCAGAATCCAGGCTAATCTGTACCCCTTCTCTAGTGTTTCAATTTTAGTATATGTGTTGCTGAAGCAGCAAGTCCCCCTATCTAATGTACCACTTGAGTTGTGTCCTGTTGCTGACTTGTTCTCATCCCTTCTCTACTGCATTGGTCTACACTCTTGCCCTACCTTCTTAACAGTCTCTTCTCTCTTTGAAATAGTAGCCAGAGTTATTTCCATAAGCTTTGGCAGTCGTCTCTGTGGCTCCAAGCTGTCTTGGGTTTCTGGCTGCCTGTGCTGTGCTCACACACTCAAGCCCTGCTGCCATGCATGCACCTTTGCTCCCTGCAGGCTTCTGCCTCAGATCCTTGCATGTTCTCTGACTCCTAGAAGCTCTTCTCTGGTGCTCCCGCCCCTTTTTGAGGATTTTTCTTCAGTCCTTACCATGTTTCCTGTGGTCTGCCTCCCGCAATTGTCAGCCTTGGGAGGTCTTGCTTTGTCCCTTGTCTCAGCTGGCTGAGGGAGGAGGAAACAGCAGGACAGAACACTGTCCTATATACTTCCAGGCTTTCCAGGCACTAGGCTTTCTTTCTATCCCACACACAGCAAGTCCTTGCAGCTCAGGTCCGAAGCATTGTCCCTGTGCCTGGTATGGTTTCTTGCTTCCCCATCTCACTGGGTAGCAGGTCCTCTGTAACATGTCCAGGAGTGGCTCAGGATCCCATTGCAGGAACTGTGAACTTGCAGCCCCTGTTCCTCCACAGTGCTCTTCCTGGACTCCACTCTGGGCTGCCCTCACTGTGCTTAGTGGGATGCTGTGCCTGCCTCCTTGCTGTGTCCCAAGACTCCTGTGTGTGGGTGCTCTTCTTGTGAAGGGGAGCTGGGGTGTTGGGGGTGGTGGTGGCGTAGGGCCCCTTTCAGCTCTCCTGTCTGAGCCTCACTTACTTCCCTTGGAGGGCGTTCTGCTGAGACCCCGCCATGGCAGGTATGAGGGGCAGCATCTGGGTTTGGGACACTCAGCCTGTGCTCTCCTGCTCTTACTCCTGCAGGAAGCTTGCTGTGTTCGACACATGGAGCTCCTTGGCTGTTCATATAGCGATGGACAATACTGTGGTGATGGAGGAGATCAGTAAGTGCCTAGCTTTTGGTTGATGAGGAGGACTTGTGGGGGACATGCATTTCCCTGCTGGGTCCCAGAAGGAGCACTACCTACAGAGCTGTGAGTCAGATTAGAGGGTTTGTCTTAGCTTGGAGACCAGCTGAAGGGAAAAGCCCAGGCCCTCGTAAGTGGCCAGTTACTTAGGACCTGACATTTTTTTGTTTCTCTCTTATAAATGTGTCAGAGCTTGGAGCAGTGATGTGTGTCTATAATCCCAGTCTTCTGAAGGCTGAGGTTGGAGAATCACTGGAATGCAAGAGTTTGAATATATCACATGGTGTAATTCTGTCTTGAAAAAACAATAAAATGGGCTTGGTAGCACATGCCTGTAATCCCAGCACTCTGAGGGGCTGAGGCAGGAGCTTGCAAGTTCAAGCCCAGCCTAAGCAGTATGTGAGACCCTGTATGGAAGTAAAAAATAAAAAAGGGGGTTGGGGATTTAGCTCAGTGGTTCTGGCTCCTGCCTCACAAGTGCAAGGGCTGGAGTTCAATCCCCAGTACCGCCCCCCAAAAGAGAAAAATAGCAAAAGGTGTGGGCATATAACTCAGTGTGAGTCCTGGAATCAATCCCCAGTAGTTAAAACAAAAAACAAATGCATTAAGGTGCGCTGTGTTTAGCTAACTTGCAGGGAGGCTGGCTGAGTGCCTTTGTGTACATTCATGTACTGGGCTGAGATGCAGGGACACTTGACCCACCTTGCACACTCAGCTCTCTGGGCAGCAGACCCATGGAAGGACGCCTGGGGAGGTGGCTGGCTATATGGGCTGGCCCAGTAGGCAAGCTCTAAATACCCCTGTCCTGTTCCACAGTGCCTCCTTTTGCTCTGTGCATCAGGGCCTTCCCCAAAGACCTCACAGAGCTGCTTCAACCCCAGTTTTGTTGGAGTCTTGTTGTTGCCTTGAATCCAGTTCTGTTTAAGAAAATGTCATTGAGCTGGGTGGAGTGGAGCATACCTGTAATCCCAGCACTCTGGGAGGCTAAGTGAAACTGTGTCTCAAAAAAATAAAATAAGTTTGGAAGTCTGGGTTCAGTCCCCAGTACTGCAAAAAAAAAAAAAAAAAAAGGAAAAGAAAAATGAAAGACTCACGGAGAGCCATGGCTCTAACAAGTACACAAAGAGTAGAAGTGGGTCTGCCTATGTGGCTGCACTGGTCAGGCCACAGATCTGTCACTTCCCTGCCAGAGTGATAGGGCCTTTCTGCTTCATTTCTTTTTCATTTTTCTTTTTGTAGAACTCGAGATTGATCTCAGGGTCCTCACACTGAGCTACATCCCCAGCCCTTTTTTAATGGTTTTTTACTTTTTTTTTTTTGTACTCAGAATTGAATTTGGGCCCTTGCACTTGCAAGGCAGGTGGTGGCACCACTGAGCTAACTCCCTGGCCCAATGCTTGTTTTGAGGTAGGTCTCACTGAGTTATCCAGGTTGGGCTCCAGTTTGTGAGTCTCCTGACTCGACCTCGATAGTGCTAGGATTGTAGATGTGCCATGCCTGGCCTCAGTCTTGCTTTTTCACCCCTGGGTGATGTCAACAGAATCTCAGGTGGGAGTGTGACCTGATGTGGTCACTGTCATAGGTCCCCTTTCACAGTTGATGCACTTACAGCAAGTATCTCTTCCTTCTGCCTTTTACCCTATTCTAGTTTAAAACTTTTGTAAAAATTAAGAAAAGTACAAAGAAAGTCACTGATTTTACTACTCAAATATCCCATATTGCTTTTGTTGTTGTGGCTTTTTGTTTTTGGTAGTGGGGTGGAATTCTTGGTCACTCTACCAATGAACTACATCCCCATCCCATTTTTTTTTTTTAATAGAATTTTGAGACAAAGTTTGGTAAATTTCTGAGGCTAATCTTGAACTTGGAAACCTCTACCTCAGCCTCCCAAGTATCTAGGATAACAAGAGTGCACCACCATGCCTGGCCCTATATTAGCTTTGTTTTTTTTTTTTTTTTTGGTGCCGGGGATCAAACTCAGGTCCTTGAGCTTGCAAGGCAGTCACCAGAACCACTGAGCTAAATCCCCAGCCCTATATTAACTTTGTATCATACTTTTTTTCCAGTGTTTTTTAATGCTTTTCAAAAACATACTATCTAGCATTTGGGAGGCTGAGTCAGGAAGGAACTTGAGTTCAAGGCCAACCTCAGCTTAGTAGGGAGACTGTATTTCCAGAAAACACAGAAACCTTGTAACTGTCTAATGCTACACAGTGTACTGTTGTGCCTTGATCTCCTTTCCCCCAGCTTCTGGGAAAAGCACTTGTCTTACTCATGTCTAGCCAGCCCCTCACTTGATCTTTTCCTTCAGAGAGGGTGGGAAGGATGAGGACAGGCTCCTCCCAGAGACTGCTCTGCGGAGTGCTTGTGGCATCAGCTTCTGAGCCTCTGGGTCCTCCTGAGCTGGTGTGGCCAGGAGGTGAGGAGCAGAGCCAGGGAGGAGTCTCAAGTCTGCGTTCCTGGCAGCTTGGGGAGTAGGAGGCCACCTGGCAGGGACCAGGGCCAGGTAGAGGTGACAGCTCATCATAGGGACATGGGCATGATTGACCCCCGCATTTGGGAAGAGTGGCATCAGATCCAAGCAAACACTGAGGCTGGTAGACAGGCATGGTGCAGTGTGGTGAGGAGTGTGGCCTCATGGTAAGTGGCCATGCTGATGGCTCTGGGTTTGGCAAGGCTCCAGGATAAACAAAAAGGAAGCTGCCTTTCTCACTCACTGCCAACATCTTCCCAAGCTGATGTGCAGCTGCATTTAAAACTTGGATAAGCAGTGGCTTGGCCAACCAAGGGCATTTCTGTCCTAATCTCCAAACTGCTTGTAGAAAGGCTGGGTGTGATGGCACCCTCTGAAGACTGAGACAGGAGGGTTTCAAGTTCAAAGCCAGGCTAGGCAACTTAGCAAAGTACTGTCTCAAAATTTTAAAAACTACATAAAAAGGGCTGGAGATTTAGTTCAGTGATACAGTGCTTTCATGAATAAGGCCCTAGATTCAGTCCTTAGCACTGTAAGTAATAATAGCATATGGAAGAGTTAGAGAAAAACTGATGACACTTGGAAGTTGCACCAGAGCCCCTTTCTCCAGTGAGAGCAGCTGTAAATGGCCATGCTTGGATTTTGTGTTGAGTGTACTGGGCATGAGGGACATCAGCACCTCCTTCCCCTGTCTCTGCCCATCCACCCTTTCACCTTACCCTGCTGGAGGTCAGCCAGGATATCCACAGTGGCTCACACTGATGGAGTTAGACCTGTGTCCTGCTTTCCTCAGCAGTGCATCTCCTCGGTTCTGGAGGCCATGGAGCTCTGTGCTTGAAATAAAGGTCTTGTCAGCCAGAGGGTTCCATTACCATGGAGCTTTGCCATCAAAACAGAGCCTCAGAATCAATAAGGTGGAACCTGCAGTCAGCGGAATATGTAAAATTGATTAATCAAAAAAGTCACAGAGGACCAGAACAGCACCTTCAGAGCTTAGTAGATACACAGCCAGCCCTGGGTTCTGATGGCAGATGTACCATCAAGAAGAAAGAGTAGAGTCGGGTGTGGTGGCATACGCCTGTAATCCCAGCACTCAGGAGGCTGATGCAGGAGGATCACTGTGAGTTCAAGACCAGCCTGGACTGCATAGTGAGTTCCAGGTCAGTCTCAACTACATACATAGTGAGACCCTGTCTCAAAAACCAAAAAAAAAAAAAAAAAAAAAAAAAAAAAAAAAAAAAAAAAAAAAAAAAAAAAAAAAATCTAGAATTGATTCTTGGGAAGATGATGTATGTTTAGAAATTAGAAAGTTAAGCAATACAAATAGAAGGAAAGTTAAAACAACGTCACTCCCTAAGTCCTTTTTTCCTAGTTGTTCATTTTGAGAAATTTCAGTCCTACAAAAAAATTCAGTCACTCCCAACCACTTTTAGTCTCAGTAGAGAAAATGTGCCCACTCCCCCCCCCCTTTCATAGCACTGGCAATTTGACAATTTTGAGGAGTCCAGGTCAAGTCCTGTGGGGTTTCCTCAGGGCCCAACCTGGGTCCGACATTTTGGTAAGAACACCAACAGGGGGCACTGCCCTCTGCTGTCCTTTGGAGTGGTCCTGCTTTCATCACCAAGCCCCTGCCCAGCTCAGGTGGTGACTTTGTGCCAGATAGGAGGAGGAAAGGAAGGAGTGAAGTTACTCCTGCTGCCCACTTACCAAGGAGGGGTCAGAGTCTGCTGGCCACCTGGGTATTTTTCTTATTTTTTTCTAAAATGCATGTGAATTTTTTGCACCATTTTATATGTGTGCTTTATTTCACAATTTTTCTTAAAAGGAGATGAGGTTTAATTTGGCTTATGGCACAGATCTTAAAATTAAGAACATAGAATGGTGGCGCATGCCTGTAATCCCAGCACTTGGGAGGCTGAGGCAGGAGGATCACTGTGAGTTCAAGACCAGCCTGGGCTACATAGTGAGTTCCAGGTCAGTCTCATCTGCATAGTGAGACCCTGTCTCAAAAAAACCAAAAAAAAAAAAAAAAGCATAGAAAATGTTTCCCTTTTTTCTGGGGATGATAGGATTATGGACGCAATTTCTGTTTTCCCAGTCCAACCTTTATTTTAATCTCTTTTTGACCACCTTTTCCACTGCAAAATCATGACTCACTTGTGCCTTGGAGGAAGCTGCTGCCTCTTCTGCTAAGCCCTGAACCTCTCACTCATCCTGCAGGGAGGTTGTGCAGGACTGGCCTTCCATGTGCTGGGGCCACTGTGCTTCCCACTGATGCTGACCGGCACTGTAATGGATTCCCCACTCTGACTGAGGTCACCAATAGGCAATTGCCATCGCCATGGAGACCCCTGGTGCTTCTCATCCCCTTGCGTCTGGGGCTCACAGACATCAATGAGGCCTATGTGGAGACGCTGAAGGTAGGTGACAGTGGCTTCTGCCCCCCACCCCCGGCCTTGGCCAATCTCAGCATGGTCAGTCAGCTGTAGGGGAGGGTGAACAGCCAGCTCACAGTGGGTCTGAGTGTGACATGCAGAGCGTCTCAGTTGAGGAAGGCAGGAAAGGCCTCGATCTTAGCTCAGGTTTGGAAAACTCAGACTTTAGCCACTTTATAAAGAGATCCTCTGGGTTTCTGCTCACTCCAGGCAACCTGCCTGCACTTCCCTTGGGCTTCAGTGTCTGGAGGGTAGGCAGAGTCCAAGGTGATGGGTGCCCTGAGGTCCCTGGGATATCCGGCCCCAAGTCCCTCTGATGTCTTCTCTTCCGCTTGCCCATCCTCCCTCCTAAGATAAAGGCAAAACCACCTCCTTTAGCTGGCTTGGTCCAGGGCACAGGGTCACACGGGGCCCTTGACATGTGGGCAGAAATGCTTATCTTGGTCTTGTTCTCTGAGCTCTCTGGGGTCCAGGTTAACCCCCTGCTGCCCCTGTGTTACCTGCTGTGACACCTCTGCTTCTCCTTTCCTGTCTCAGTGAATCTGACTTGCCTCGTGTCTCCTCCTCTCCATCATGTCATGTAACACTTGAAGGTCTGCTGTGTCCTGTGTGCCTGCTCTATCCCCAGCCTTGCCCTCTGTTACCAGAAACTCTTTGGGTTGTCTTCTTGTTCTGCTGACTCACTGGGCTTGGGCCCTGTCTGTGGCTGTGAGCAGGGCCCATGTGTCACATTGGGCTCTCCACGCCTGTTCGAGAACATAGTGTGCTTATTAACCTATCATCCTCTCTCTGCAGCACTGTTTCATGATGCCCCAGTCCCTGGGTGTCATTGGAGGGAAGCCCAACAGTGCCCACTACTTCATCGGCTATGTTGGTGAGTTGGGTCCACTTGTCTGGGCCACAACAGTGCTCTCTAACCTGTGTGCCTGGCTGGGAGGTTTCCCTGAGCAGCACTGCACATTCCTGTGCTCCAGCTTGTCCACCATGGTGTCTTTGGATGCAGGGCTGCTAGTGGATCAGCAGCATGTTCCTGTGGTGCTTCTGCCTGGTGCTGTACACTGGCCAGAAATGTGGCCTCCCTGTGCTCCTCTTCCCTGATGGTCTGGTCCCACTTCACCTCATGCCTGCTGTATTTTGCAATGGGGCTATCCTGTTGGACTGGCCTTGGTGTGCTGGCTTTGAACATGGGCCTTACTCACTCCCTGGCTGACCTCTGTCGTCTTGCCCAGGCGAAGAGCTCATCTACCTGGACCCTCACACCACACAGCCGGCAGTGGAGTTGACAGATGGCTGCTTCATCCCTGACGAGACTTTCCACTGTCAGCACCCTCCCTGCAGGATGGGCATTGGGGAGCTGGACCCGTCCATCGCTGTGGTACGTCCCACCAAGCTTGTTTTAGGATGAAGAGGGAAACTTGGAGATTTGTGTAGCTTTCACAGTATTTGGAATGTTGTGTTCTCATGGTTTTGAACTCCAAGGCCATGGCCTGAGCTGTGCTGGGCCCTGCAGGTCATTGCCAGACTGCTGCTTCTTGAGCTAGCAGCCAGAGTGTGTGCATGTGCACATCTCGAGTGTGAGTGTGCATGTAGAGCGTGTGTGTGTTTGTGGTGAGTCCACACCTGCATTACTGCCATTTCCTGTTGGCTTTACTTAGTGCATGTGGGAGATGGTTCCTTAAGAAGCTTCCCCCTATTCCTTGGATTATGTAGTAGAAATTGTTGATATGTGGTTCATGAATATGTGGTTATTTGATGGGGAAGAGGCAAAAAAGAAAAAAATCCACTGGGTGTGGTGACACCTTTAATCCCACACACTCTGGAGACTAAGGCAGGACTGATTGCAAGTCTAAGGCCAGCCTAGGCAAGATTCTGTTTCAAATTAAAAATGGCTGAGGAGGTATCTCAGTGGTAGAACACCCTTGGGTTTCATCCTAGTACCACTTGGGGTGGGGAGTGGGAAGAAAGTGAGGGAGAGGAAAAAAAAAAAAAGCAAAATGTAGAAGCAGAGCTGAGCCTCAAGAGGTCATCCCTTGTGTGGGGGCTCCACATCCTGGACATGTGACAGAACTTGCTGGCCTGGTCCTGCCACCAGCAGCAAGCTGGTGTGCTACCTTGGGACATGCACCCTGGCATGGGGATGGCAGCTGGAGCTGCTCCTAACTTAACCAGCTCTCAGTAGCTTGCAGTAATTGATACTTGTGCACTAAGGTCAAACTGGAAAGCAGGCTATCTAGTCTATGTAGGAGGCTGAGGCAGGAGGATTGAGAGTTGGAGGCCAGCCTGAGAAACTTGGTGAAGCCTTGTTTAGCTAGCTCAGTCTATAAAATTGGTGGGTTGGGATGTTGCTTGGAGTCACTGGGTTCAGTCCCTCAGCACTGCAGAAAAAAGAACAACCCAGAAGCCAAGCACCACAGCAGAAGGGGCATGCAGGTGGAGACCAGCAGGTGCCAAGTGCAGGGGCTGCAACAATGAGACTGTGAGGCATTGTGACAGCCCTGCCATCCTCACTGCAGAGGGAGGCCGGTGCACGGGGCTGTGTGCAGACACCTGTCTTCACCAGGCCTTTTTCTATGTCTCCCTCACGGCAGGAGCAGAGGAAGCTTCTGCCTTCCTTGGTGCCATTCCTTACCTTCCTGTGCCTATGACCCTCTGGCTCTGGTAGTGCTCTAGTCTTCACAACTGTTGCTGCAGACTAGCCTTTGTAGCTGGTCCTTTGCACAGTGCTGCTGCCCACCGGACTTTCCTCACCCCCAGGCCTATTTTCTCAGTGCATGGTTGCATTGTTGTCTTTGCTGCTTGGTCCTGAGCTGAGGCTGAGTTATGGCTAGGTCTCAGCTGCAGAGAGAAGAGGCTCTCTACTCTTCTCCCTGGCATAGCAAAACCTGCCTTGTTCCCAGGAGGCTCAACGAGGCCAAGACCTTTTGGGTAAATCAAGGCAGAGAAAAAGAGTTACAGTTGGGGAACTGGGTCCCTGAAGGTGGTGGGGCTGTGCTGCATCTTTGCCTGCAGCTCTTACTATATGCAGTAACACTGCTGTCTGTCACTTCATTTTAGGGGTTTTTCTGTAGGACTGAGGATGACTTTAATGACTGGTGCCAGCAAGTCAAAAAGGTCTGTGGTTGCTACCCTCCCCTCCAGTCTGGAGCTGGGCCAAACCTCCTGGGAAAAGGGAATGGGATAGGGGCAGGCCTGGCCTGAGGCCCTTCACAGCTGTGCTGACTGAATAGGCAGGGTGTCTCTGGACTTCCTCCCTGGCACGATTGCCCACTGTGGGGTTGGATGCCACGTGGTAACTTCAGGGTGGACTCCTCTGCAGGTGCTCACTGTCCTCCCTCCCTTCCTGGCACATGACGTTGGTCACCACACCAGGCTGTGTTGTAGCCCTTGCTGTGGAGCCACCCGCCTGGCTCTATCCCTGGGGTAGGGACAAAGTTGAGCCCATACTGAGGCAGCCTTGGTCTGTGGGTGAGGCTGGGCTGCCACTTACACCTATCTCCTGACAGCTGTCCCTGCTTGGAGGTGCCCTGCCCATGTTCGAGCTTGTAGAGCAGCAGCCTTCTCACCTGGCCTGCCCCGACGTCCTGAACCTGTCCCTTGGTGAGTCCTGAGCCTGGGTGACCTTGTCTGTGCCCCTCGAGTTATGTGGGCTGTGCCCTTCCCTTCCTGTCTGGTCTGCTGGCCTCTACATGGTAAGGTTTGTGTGATCTGGGCATGGGCCCTGGGGGTGGTTTGGGTGTGAGAGCAGCACACTACCGCAATCCCCCTCCTCTCAGCCTGAGCTCAGAGCAGTGAACCTGCGTCTTATCCTCTGCCTGTGCTGGGATGTCTACCTGGTGCTCTGGAGCTGCGTGCCCCATTGGCCCTTGGCTCTATGATAGCCCAGTCCAGCCCAGGAGTCAGGTGGCCATGGGGAGAGCAACCTTTTGGGCCCTGGGATGAGGGCAGAGTGCTGACCTTGGAGAACACTGACTAGAGGCCCGACAGGCCTGCCCAGCCCTCAGCCCCTCTAGCCTGTGCCTGGCAGGAGTGACTTGCTGTTCTCCCCCCCATCCCCCTCCCTATCACCTTGAGATGGAATCCCTGTTCATAGGTTGGCTCAGAACCCCACCTGGCTCAGAACCCCTAGAACTGGCTTCCAGGACCTCCTTAGCCCCATACTCCCAGAGTGGCCCCAAATGTGTCTGATGAGGCTTTATCATATTTCTTGCAGATTCTTCTGACGTGGAGCGATTGGAAAGATTCTTTGATTCAGAAGATGAAGACTTTGAAATCTTGTCCCTCTAAGGGTCTTGGGATTAGAGGGTGGCTTCCATGGTCCTCGTCAGGGCGCCTTTGAAAACCTAGCCTGCTTCAGGCGCTCGGTGCCACTGCATTCCATCCACCCAGCCTGCCCCTGCTGAGTGCCACGCCCATGCCACCTCTGCCTGGAGACCTGCACCGCCCAGGGACTGAGGACTGCGCTGCCCTGGACGCCTTATGCTTGGAGCCAGCCCAGAGTGCCTCTGGCCGTCTGCAAGAAGAGGTGCTTGGCAGGAAGCTCAGTGTGGAGGGCCTGGAGCTCACAGAGCTCTCTGCTTGGCACTGCCAGCCCTGCATCCCCACACTGGCTTTGACCCTGCTTTTCTGGGCACTGGGTCTGTGGTTGGTTTGGAATTAAAGCCCCGTTTGGAGTTGTTCAACGCAAACATGAGTTTCTGGCCGCTTCCCAGGTCAGTCTCAGAAGCCTTGAAGTTTGGCATGTTCAGAGCAAGGGCCACATTGTGTCTTTGTGTTGGGCAGAGTGAGCTCAGTTGCACCCCCTCTGCCCATGCAGTTACCAAGGGCTACACTAGGAGAGGACGTGGAGAGAGCTCACATAGTGGGCATATGGGAAGCCAGAGGCTTTGAGTGCCCGGGACTTGGTGCAAGTCCTAGAGCCGGTCCTCAGAGCATTCCCATGGGTGCAGCTTCTGTCTTGAGGGCTGAAGCATTGGGAGACCCACTCCTTGCTGCTGTTTGCTATCAGAGCAGTTCCCCTGAGCAGCTCTCTGCCTGGGACACTGCAGCTGATGGGATGGAGCACCCTGTCATCCACGTCTTTTGCTTTTCTCAGAATTGCTGGGCAGGCTGGGCAGCTGAGCACCCAGCACTCGAAGGTGAAGTATCCAGACTTCATGTTTATTTCAATGTCTGCCACCTCTCACCCTAGTTTTCTTGGAAAACCTAGGACCCCCTAAGGCCCTCAGACCTTGCTACTCTGGCCTGTGGTCTGTGCGCTCTAGAACAAGAGTTGTCCTGCTAGCAGGTGTAGCAGAGGTTGGGGGACCTAGAATGGCCACATGGGCATCTTTGCAGCCAGGCAGAGCTGGAGGAGCCCAAGGTGGGCATCTCAGCTGTTGCCATGCATGGCAGCACCAAGCAGCCTAGAGGCAGCAGGAGATACCCCAGACCCCAGGCGTTGAAGGCGTAATTTATTTCCTTACTCTCCCTTTTTTCTTTCTGCTTCTTACTGTAGCTGTGGGTTGGGTGGGCAGCAGGGAGGGCTAGGACCATTTCCATTCCTTTGGGTTCTGCTTCCTGCACTGCTGGTTCCTGAGGCCAGGGACAGCATCCAAGGAGCCACTTGTGTCTGGAGAAGGCATACTGAAGAGGTGGTTCATTCTTAGTGTAGTTCACAGTTCTTAATGGCAAATAACAAGTTTCCATAGAAAACAAAAGTGTGTGTGTGTGCGTGTGTCTTGATTTTTCCTTCAGGTTAGTTGATTGAGGATGTGAAATTTTCAGTGTGATAGGCAGATTGAGAAGCTGCACACACAATCTGCCTCCACCCTGATGCTAAGTAAACGTGATAAATCTGTAAAGGAGAATTAACTAGGAAAATGATCGTTCAGCAGGAGGGCAGAGGATGTACCCCCATAGTGCAGGCTTTGCCCATGTCCTTTGGCCCAGAATGGGATGGGTACAGCCCAAGCACAGCATGGAGGTGAGAACTGACACTCAAGCCATTTCATGCCATCTTAGGACAGCCCTGTGTCACCCCCACCTTGTCTACCCTACAGAAGAGGAGCCAGGGGCCCAATGGCAGAAGAGGGGCCACACATTGTCAAGTTGAGGTGGCCTAAGGGTGAGTCATGTGCTCAAGTGCCTGCCAGATATTCCAGGTTCAGCCCTTGGAACACATTCTGGTTATGGAGATGTTTCACTATGCTGCCCACCCCAAGCTGGTCTAAACTTGTGACCCTCCTGCCTTGGCCTCCTAAATGCCAGGAATGCACCATCACCTATGGGACATTTTTTCTTACAGTGCTGGAAGGCAGAAGTTAAAACCAAGCTATTACAGGGATAGTCCTCCTGTGGGGTCCAGGGTAAAAATAGGACAGTCTGCAAATGCTCTATCTCCCAACCCCTGTAGGGACCCCAGGGGACACAAGACCCCTCTGGAGGATCCTAGATAGATCCAGATGTAGGCCCTTGGGTATTTACCCAAATGTCGCTTGCTCTGTGACATCCAGTGCTTTACCCAGAGGCTGCTGCATAGGGTAGATTCCAGCAGAATGGGTAGGAAACCCTGTCTTAGGGCAGGTTAGGAGGTGATAAGATGAGAAGCTCCAGGGTCATTACAAAAACAAGATTAACACCAGTGCTCAGAACATAGGCTATGGTGCTGAACAAGTGCAGCCTAGCACACCCAGCAAGGTCCACCCTGGCGAGTCCACAGAAGACACAGGGCAGGCAGGGCCTTCTCTACCCAGCTTCTGGTTCCTACTTGAGGCTGGCCCAGCCCACAGCTGGTATCTGAGGTCAAAGAAAACACCATGAACACATTTGCAGGTAAGTTTTTATTGGGGCCTGTAATAGATTCAGGAGCTGGGCCCAGTGGCCCGTGCCTGTAGCTTCAGCTATGAGAATTGGAAGTTCAAGGTCAGCCTAGGAAACTCAGTGAGACCCTATCCCAAGATAAAGTTAAGAAAAAAGGCTGGGGTGGCAGCTCAGTGGTAAAAGCTCGTCCCTAGTTTGTGCAAGGCCCTGGATTCATGTCAGAGGACTACAAAAAAGAAAGTAATTGCCACTTCGGACAGATTGCTGAGTTTTCTACCACTAAGGTTAAATAAGAAAGCATATAAACATTTTCAAGACAGGAAGACAAGTCCATGGTACTGCCTGGTGCCCACACAGCCAGGGCTGTGCCACCAGCAGATGGCCCTGGAAACCAAAATCAGAATGCCATTAAGTGTCTGAAGGACCTGGTACAAGTGTCTCTGGTGGCCAGGTTCACTGCCACAGCTCCCCGAGGGGCCTCTGTGCCGCACCAAGAATGGCAGCCTCAGAAAGCAAGCAGATTTCCTTGTGGACGTCCTCGATGCTCTTGGAAGCGTCGACCACCTGTTCCCATAGGGGACACGAGAGGATCATTACCACTTTCCTGTTCCAGTTATGAGACACTTGGCAGTTCTGGGGCACAGCACAAGACCTGAGACTGGTCTACTTCACCTCAGTGGTGTCCTAGGTGCAGAGCCACCCAAACTGCTTCCACCCCCAGATGCAAGAGAAACCCCCTGTACCAATGGCTGCCCACCCGCCTGCACAGCCCACCACTCTAAGTCAGGTGTGCAGTCACTGTGGAGCCCGCTGTAGCCCAGGCTAGTAAACCAGCACTCCTGAGAGGCTATCCTCGCGGTCCACGGGAGGCCTCTGCCAAGACAGCTCCCAGCACTCTGAACAGAACCTAGCAAAGATGGCTCTTCTCCCTGTCCTTCACCACTGCACTGTACTGCACAGAAGTAGTGCTGGGGAGAGAGAGCCCTCCAGAAGGCAGCCTGCAGAATGCCAGTGTTTCCACGGCTTTTTTGTTTTTTTAGTACTTGGGGCTTCTGCACTGAGCTACATCTCCAGCCATTGGTCATTTTGAGATACTCTTACTAAGTGGCCAAGTTGCAAGGCAGGGCTCAAACTTGGGCTTCTGCCTCAGACTTGCTGAGGACTAAGATCACAGGCATGTGCCACCATGCCTGGCTGGTTAGGAGTTGAGTCTTCTCCAAACAGCTGAGCCCCAGGACCTGCCGAACTCAATCAGGCCCTGCAGGCGGGGTCATGATGTGGATGTGTGGGTGCTGCCAAACCCACCAGGAACCCCCTGGCTGCTGTACAAGTCATGTCCAGGAAAGGTGGGACTAAGGAACAGGGCAGGAGCCAGGAACAGAGAGAGATGAGTCCAAAAAGGGCAGAGGCTAGTGTCCTGGGGAAGGGTTGAGACTCACTTATGGGATGGCACTGAGGAGGCAAGACCAAAGGGAAACCCAGCACAGATGCTGTCAGGAGCATAGGGAGGGGCCCCAAGGGAGACAGGAAAGGAGAAGACCCAGGCTGCACCTGTGTGGGAGGGGCCTGCAGTGTGACAAGAAGGAGTTGGCACACATTCCCCACGGGACAGGAGGTTAAGGTGAGGTCTGAGGACTGACCCCGAAACTGGCATATGCCCTCTCTGGATAGCATGACCCAAGCAGAGACAACTCAGTGCTGCTGCTGGGATCAGGGAACCAGAAGGTGAAGTGTATAGTCGCTTCCAGGACTCAGGTTCTCAACCATGTGTGTGGCTAAGGCTTTGCAGGGGACAAGATGCTGAGGGTACGGGCTCAGGTCTGAAAAGGGCTTGCAGCTACACAGCGTCAGTGGATGAGGCACTATGTCTCCATATTGCAAAATCCACCGAGGAGACTGGAATTACACAGAGCTGTGGGCAAAGCTCAGTGGTAGAGCACTTGCCTTTAAGTGTCATGCCCTGGCTCCATCCCCAACGTGCCTCAAAAAAAGAGGAGATGGGGTGATTTGTTGGCACTGAGAATCCTGCCAGCTGCCCAAGGGTCCACGGAGGACAAACCAGACAGATACTGCAGCAGCTGTAACGTGGTGGTGGGGTGGACTTGCGCTGACCCCAGGTCCATGGCCCTCACCTTCCAATTCAAAGTTGAGTCCCTCATGAGCTGCTGGAAGCTGTACAGTGCCCGCTGCTGGAAGGTCGTCTCCTCATACCGCTCACAGCCAAATTGACCCCGAGTGGAGGCGTCTGCCAGTTGTAACTGAAGGAAGAGGATCAGGTCAGGCTTGGGCAGGCCCACATCTGGCTGCTTGCACCAATCCAGGGAAAAATTCTGCCAACAAAGGATATAGAACAGTTAGGGCAAAATGCAAGTAGGTTCTTCTTTTGTGCTCCAATTATGAAGAGGTGAAAATTTGTACACAGCAATGGCCTTTTTATTGGTAAAACCTCATAGTTTGCTTTCTCCCACACCATCTGATTTTCCTCAGCCAATCCACAATGGCCCCTGCCCTGGTATGCACACTATGGTGGCCCTTGTGAGTTAGATCTAGACCTTATATCCAGGAAGAAAGCACAATCTAGGAAGACATTGCCTTGAGGCCCACTGGGCCCAGGAAACCCGAGGTGGAGTGGACAGAACCAGATCAGGCACAGGGCCTCTGGCCATGGTTGGACTTTCACAGACCCCACCAGGAAGAAGTGAAGAAGACTGGCAGTCCTGGCAGCCAACTGCATTCTGGACTGTGGTAGAGCTCAGGGGCAGATGCCACCTGACACATCCTAATACCCTCTAAAGATGGTGTCTGTGTTTCTGAAGGGAAAGCAGGGTCAAGAGCCTCAGCCTGTAAAACCATGCCCTGATCACATGGGCCCATGGCCTTGCCCAAAGGGCCTGCAGAACCAGCTCTCAGCTGTGGTCAGCATGTCAGGAGGAGGACAGAGACAGTCCCACAGTACCTTGACTACCAGTCTTGTCCTCCTTATTATACAAACTGACTAGTTCACTGAGGAAGCACTCTGCCTAACAAGTGAAAACAGGGAGAATTCAAATGCTACCACTTTGCCATTTCACTAAGGGCTATAACCACACAAAGATTACCAGGGGGCTGGGGGTGTGCCTCAATGGTATAGCACTTGCTTAGCATGAACAGGGCCTTTGACCCCCAGTACCACCCAATGCCCCCCAAACATATAAGCAGATATTATCTAACTCTTGATAGAAGAGCCTAGTACTCCTTGAAGTAGTCTTATAAAAACAATTTTTTGATGCCAAGACTGGATCCAGAATCCCTTGCATGCCAGGCACATGTTCTACCATTAAGCTATACTCCCAACAACCCCAAAATAAAAATTTGAAAAACAGCCTGGCAGGATGGTATCTGCCTATAATTCCAGCTACTTGGGAGGCTACTTGGGAAAGGAAGGAAAGGAAGGAGGGAAGAAGGGAGGAATCTTTGAAAATGTTAATATAAGGAAGGAATGTGCATACAAACACTTCAAGAGATTTAAGAGGTATTTCAATATATGGCCCTTACTGAATTTGAGCTCAATATAACTAAAAATACAAATGGACAAACAAGCTGGGCATAGTGGCACATGTCTGTAATCTCAGCACTCTGAGAGGCTGAGGCAGGAAGACTACAAGTCTAAGTCTAGTATGGGCAATTTAATGAGACCCTGTCTCAAAAAATAAAATGTAATGGGGAGGAAGAGGGCTGATAAAAACCCAATGAGCCCCTCTGTGGGGAAAATAAATAAATAGTAAAAAAAAAGTTGGAAATGTAGCTCAGTAGGAAGACCCTGTGTTCAATCTCCAGTACTTCAAAAAGAAAAAACCAAGACAGTTTTTGAGAGTGCTGGGAAATCTGAACAATGACTGTGTTTAATGCTATGAAATGACTATGTTTTTTAGGAAAGATCATGTTTTAAAAAATTATTTTAGCCGGGAGTGGTGGCGGATGCCTAAAATCCCAGCACTCGGGAGGTTGAGGCAGGAGGATCACTGTGAGTTCGAGACCAGCCTGGGCTACGCAGTGAGTTCCAGGTCAGTCTCAACTATAGCGGATGCCTAATCCCAGCACTCGGGAGGTTGAGGCAGGAGGATCACTGTGAGTTCGAGACCAGCCTGGGCTACGCAGTGAGTTCCAGGTCAGTCTCAACTATATAGTCTCAAAAAAACAAAACAAAACAAAAAATTATTTTAGCTAAAAAAAAAGTTATTTTAGCTATTCAGTTCAAAGAGTGACTTGAACATGTAATGTTCATGGCCATCGCAGGTGCTGGACAGGCCTAGCAGCACTCACCTCCTTGGCGCTTGTGAAGGCCACACCGGAAAAGGCATATCTGTCTACAACAAGTGTCACACCCTGGTGCAACTTCTCCTTAATTAAAGGTCTGAAATACAGAATAACAAGACAACTCAGAAATCCCACACAATAACCATTACAGCACTCAAAGGTTATAGTTTCAAAGCTCTGGATTGTCTCTTTAGAAGAATGCTGTGCAGATCCTCCCAGCAAAACTCAGTGCGGAACACAAACCATAGACAGTGACCACCTACACTGAGACAGGAACAAGGTCTCAACTGGAATAGAGGGACAGCACTACCCTAGCAGGGGAAAAACAGAATTCCACATAGAAAGAACAAAGGATGGTGGAAGGAGTGGACCAGGCGGGCAGCTAACACATCAATGATTATACCCTCAAGGCTGGACTGCAAGGACAAGAATAGGATGCAGGGACATTCACAACCAACCATAGGCCTGCTCTCATCACCCAGGTGCCAAGATCTTAGAAAGATATGCACAGAGGTGGGGCCTGAGCTAGCAAAGCACTGCTAAAACCAGATAAAGCAGTCAAATTAACCTGATCAGCCAACTTTACTGGGGGACCTTCAAATAACAGAAACTCACATTGACAGTCAACTGATCTTTGACAGAGTAGATGCTATGATGGGGCAAAATAGTCTGCAACAATTGTTGCTGGAGCAAACAGACCCTAACATGTAAAAGAATGAATCCAGACTCAGATCCTTCACACTCCATAAAATTAACTCATAATGGACCACAGACCCAAATGCAAGAGGTCCCAGGTTCAATCCTCAGTGTGCACACAAAAAAATGGCCAAAGACCCTACTACAAAGTACGAGGCCATGGGTGTCATTTGCCACACTAAGGAAAAAAAAACACCTTATAAACTTTGGGAATGTATTGAGAATAGTTATTAATCTTATCAAGTTAACATGCTAATTAATACTGCACACAAATAATAGGGAGGCTAGGCTGGTGGTGCAAGCCTGTAACCCCAACATTTGGGAGACAGGATTGCTGTGGGTTCCAGCCCAGCCTGGGTGGCATAGTGACTTCAAGACTAGCTGGGACTACAGACCAAGACCTTGTCTGGAAAAGAAAGAGAGAGGAGAAAGGGAGGGAGGGAAGAAAAGACAGGAGAGAAAAGAAAGAGAAGTGTGTGTGCACAGGAACTCTTCTTTTTGATCAATTTTTCTATAAAAAACCTGAAAAAACTAAGTCTATGAGTTACGATCAGAGGAGGGAATGAGCAGGAACAAAAAGAAGTAAGAAACCAGCACTCCCTAGGAACTGTGCAACTGAGGTTGCTGGGACAGCTGTGGAGTGAGGAGCCTCAGGGACATTTTCAGGCCCTACCCAGGCCCATGTGACACGTGTCATTCAGAATCCAGAGCCCAGGACAGCAAGGTCCCTGGAGTGGGGGCAGAAGGGGGTTGAGGTTTTACACTTGTTCCCAGCGGTTGGCAGAAAAAAGCAGATGCACTGAGTGATCCTCCAGTTCAGTTTTCTTTTCCAAGTAGGAATTGAGAAGTTTGCCAATTTCTGTTGATCGTTCTAGGAAGAAGAAGAAAAAAAGTCAGGGTTTCCAACTAAAGTAATTCTACTAGCCTATAATCCCAGCAGTCTGGATTGAGGAAATAGGATCACTACAAGTTTGGAGCTAGCCTGTAGTGAGTTCAAAGCCCTGCTGAACTACTACAATGAGACCCTGTCTCGAAAAACAAGTATAAAAAAGGCTGAGGATGTTACTCAGTGGTAGAGCACTAGGAAATGAGAGAATATACTTTTCACTGAATTTCTCCCCAGGATCCACACATCTAAAAGTTCGGATTTTACTTTACTAAATCTGGACAAGACTGGGCCATCGAACGCCAAAGGAGTTTCCCTGAGAAAAGCAGCAATGTGTGGATATGCTGCAGAAAGGTGCTTTAGGGAAAAAAGGTAGAGAGCCAAGAGTTCAAGGGAAGTACTTGTAAGATCTAGGAATGAGCTGTCGAAAGAAAGCTTTTTCTCCAATTCCTCATCCCTGTTTTATCTTAAACTGCGTCTTGACTTAAAAAATTTTTTTTGGTGGTACTGAATTAAACGCAGGTCCTTTGCACAGAGTTACATTTCCACCCCTTAAAAAGAACACAGGGTCTTCCTAAGTCGCTGAATTGTCCAGGCCGGGCCCGAAGTTGCACGGCCCAGTGCTGGGATCATAGATGTGCAACACCACGCGTGGCTTCACTGTTTTGATGCTATTTTCACCAGCACTTCTTGGGGCTGAGGCTTTACTTTAAAACATGCCGGGACAGGGGAGAGATTCAGGGGCAGAGCGCGCGCTGAGCCTGCAGGTTCCATCCCCACACCCCAAGGCAGGCTCGAGCTCCGAGACAGTGACCGCCCGCCCCGCGCGCACCCGGGAAACGCAGCAACTCGGCACGGTGGCCAGCGGCACACAGAGCAGACACCAGCTTGCGGCTCTGAGTGCTCTTGCCCGCGCGGTCCACACCCTCCAGCACGATCAGCGCCCCACGGCCGCACGCCATCTCGTCCAACGCTCCCGACACCCCCCGCGCCCTCCGCGCATGCGGAGATTTGCTGGAGCAGGCGCGGCGCCTGCGCCCTGAGTCTTCCCGCGGAGTCGCGCGGTCTGGAAAGCTGGCCGGAGCTCTGGCGCCACTTGGAGGAGCGGGCGCTGGTCGTGGCAAGGCCAACGCTGAGGACTGAATTTGCCTCCGCACTCTTATATCTTTAACATTTGTAGACAGTGTCTGGCCAAGTTGCCCAGGTCGGCCTTCTGCCTCAGTTGTCCGAATAGGTGATTACAGGGACGCACCACCATACCTGGCTTCAAGGCTGTTTTCTTTCTGTTAGGGGGACCCTGGGGATTGAGCCCATGGCCTTTGCACTGAGCCCCCCCGAACCCGCCCCCCCGCCTTTGTTTTGAGACTGGGTCTTGATGAAACACTAGCTTGCCCAGGCAGGGCTCAAACTTTTGCTCCTCCTGCCTTCTCCTGGAGTGCTGAGATTACAGGTGTGTGCCAACACGCCTTCCATCTTTCTCTTGATGATTGAACCTATGACCTTCCACTGAACTACATCTCTGGCCCTTTAAATTTTTTATTTATTTTTTTTTTTCACTTTTGAGACAGGGTCTTACGATGTTTCCCAGCCTGGCTTCAAATACACAACGTTCCTAGCTTGGTTTCCTCAGTAACCAGGATTTTTAAAAATAAATACATTTTAGGGGATTTGGCTCAGTGGTTCTGCCGCCTGCCTTGGGCAAGGGCCCAAGTTCTATCCCCAGTACCAAAAAAAAAAAAAAAAAAAAAAAAGTGAGATGTGTTATGTACTTGTACCAACTGCCCACAAGGCGTGCAATCATTTATTGCAAACATATACTAATAAAAAAACAAACGAAATACTTAAGTGTTGAAGTTCACTTATAAAAATTAAAAAAAAATTTTACCCCACCCCCCCAAGATCCCCCTCCGCTCCCACTCCCTATGTACAGAAGCTTTGTTTCCATTTTTTTCCCTTCTATTTTCACTTTTTTTCTTGTTCCTTTTTTCCCTCTCTCCTCCCTTGTTCCCCTTCCCATTTGAACATTTCCTTCCCATTTCCAACATCCATTAATACGTTTCAGTCCTCATTTCCACTTTCGGTTTCTCACACCAGAGAAACAATGCAGTATTTAGACGTGTGTCTGATTTATTTCACTTCAGTGTGGCCTCATGTCCATCCATTTAGCTTTATGTGTCTGAAGTCCATCCTTCTTTATGATAGAGTAGTATTCCAGTATATAAAGAAACCACATCTTTATCCACTTGTCAGTTGATGGGCATTTGGGCTGTTTCCAAGATTTAGCTATTACAAACTGTGCTGCTATAAACATGGATGTGCATATATCACTGTATTATGATGCTTTTAATTCTTTCTGGAAGGTACCAAGAAGCGGTATAACTGGGTCAAATGGAACCTCTAATTTTAGTTTCTTTTTTCTTTTTTTTTGTACCAGGAATCAAACTCAGGACCTTGTGCTTGCGATGCAGGCAGGGGCACCACTGACGTAAATCCCCGGCCCAAGTTTTAGTTTCTTCAGAAATCTCCACACTGATTTCCACAGTGGTTGCATTAGTCTACACTCCTACCAACAGTGGAGAGGGTTCCTTTTTCCCCACAGCCCCTCCAAAATCTGGAGCAGCCAGGATTATAGGGTGCATCACTGTGCCCATCTCAAGGCTGTTTGCCAAGATTCCCCCCTGCCCTGCTCTTTGGGAACTGGGGATCAAACCTAGGTCCTGAACTTGGTGGAGCTGCACACTCACACCCAGTCTGATCTGCACTCAGTGTCTAAGGAGCTGCTGAGAGGGTCCTGCTTCACTGCCAGGAGAGAGGGAAATGTTCAGGGGTGGAGAGCGGCAGACTTTCTGTCCAGGGTACATGCCAGCCTTCAAGCAGCATTACTCTGGACCTTGGTCTCCAACACACCCAGAGCAGCTTATGCTTTCTTGGCTGCATTGTGCCTGTGTTTCGGGGTTCTGGAACAGGGTGGTGGTGGTGTAATTCCCAATCGCTGTAATTGCTTCCTTCCTGTAGCTTGGCCTTGTGGTTCCCAAAGTCAATGCGCTCTGCTCTGGCTGAACTACTCTGTGGTTCCCTGTCCCCTTCTGCCCTTTTCACACTGGGTCCTGGCTCAGTGGTTTCCAGGGCAGTGATGGGCAACACCAGCCCAGTGAGCCCTTGAGTGCGGAGCTGGAGACTGTTGGGTCTTTGTTACTGCAGCACAGCCTGCTGAAAGCTGTAGCTTACTACTGCCTATGCAAGGAGTAGAAATGGTATTTCTCTGCTTGGTAGCTCTTTTTCTAAAACACCCACATCACTGCTAAGCACCTTTATGTACACTGCCATCTTTAACTCCCTCCAAATTCCCAGGTTGGTGTCACTTCCTACGTTTTACAGAAGAGAATCAGATACCTATATGCCTCATGCAGCCTCTGCAGACTCCTGGCTGGGTTTCCTTGGGCCTCAGGCTCACCGCACAGTACCACCTTAGGGTACCACCTCTTGCAGCCAAGGATCTCCTGTGTTGTAAATGCAACCAGGATAGCTGGTGAGGAGCAGCAAGGAGAACCCAGAAGGCCACATTCATGATTCCTAGCTCATTAAAATAGGAATAAGTGGACTGAGGATTTAGTTCAGTGCCTGCCTTGCAAGCTCAAGGCCCTGAGTTTGATCCCTTGTACGGGGGGGGGGGAATAAGTAACCACTGGGAGTGACAGTACACACCTGTGATCCCAGCACTTGGGATGCTGAGGCAAGAGGATTGCTGCAAGCTTGAGGCCAGCCTGGGTACATAGTGCGATACAGTGTCAAGAAAATACAAGAATCGCAGGGCATGGTGGTGCACGCCTGTAATCCCAGCACTCAGTAGGCTGAAGCAGGAGGATCACTGTGAGTTCGAGACCAGCCTGGACTACATAGTGAGTTCCAGGTCAGTCTCAACTACATAGTGAGACCCTGTCTCAAAAAAACCCAAACAAACAAAAAAAGAAAACACAAGAATAAATTAGAAAATAGTGTAACATCCATCTTGTTGCCTTTAGAAGGATGAGGAGTTACAGGAAGGGGAAAACCTCCTGGGTGCCAGGCAAGGTTCCTCAATGGCCTTGCACCAAGATGATTTTCCAGGCACAAGGCCAGGGCACAGAGGCTCAGCTTTAGATGCAGAACCCTCCTGATCACTGTGAGAGACAAGAACCTGGCCACCTGGCAAGGTGGTGGGGTCCAGCAGATATGGTGCGTTGCCCTCTGATGCAGGTGTCCCCTTCCTCCAGCACCATACAGCCCTATCACCTGGATGTCATCTCAGCTGAAGCTTGAACCACCTCCTGTGACATGAGGTCCGGAAGTTAGGCAGAGGACAGCTGCTGCCTATGCTGTGTCCATGTCCTTTTCTGGCTTTCCTTGTGGGCACAGGACACTGTGTGGCCCAGGCAACTCCTGACTTATAGAGGAGAGGAGGGCTTTGGGGCTGAGCATTGTTTCCTCTGAGCTCCTGCCACATAGACAGAAGCCTTGGTTGGGTTTCCACTGCAGCAGTGGCAGTCAGGCTCTTTTCACATCCATGCAGGCCTGGTCGATGAGACAAAACCATCCTCAGTTAATAACTGCTGAAGCTGTCAGTGGACAGGCACATAAGTTCATTAGATTCGCTCTCCTCCTGTGTTCCAAATTTCCCAGTGAAGTGAGAGGCAAGGGATGGTGGCACATGCCTGTAATCCTAGCACTTGGGAGGCTGAGGCAGGAAGATCACAGTGAGTTTGAGGCCAGCCTGAGCTACATAATGAATTCAGTCAGTCTGAATTACATAGTGAGACTGTCTCAAAAACAACCCCCCCAAAAGAAAAACAAACAAACAAACAAAGGATAGTGAAACCCTTGTTCTAGTCTCTGTTTCAGTGCCCTGTAGCTTCCAGCCTATAGCAATTACACCAGACACTGCAAGTATCCATCAGTCCCTCTCCCTGCTCATCTGCCCTGGCTGCCATAACAAAGTGCCACAGAGAGGTGGCTGAAACAACAGAAAGGGCATCTTTCTGCATCTGTGGATACCAGAAGTCTAAGATCAGGGCTAGTGCCTGGCAAGGGCTCCTGCTCAGTTGCAGGGGTCACATGATGACTTGAGGCACTGACTCCATGGGATTATGCCCTACTTTGTCTCTTTAACAGGCCTTAATTACAGCTACAAAGGCTGTGTTTCCAAACATAGTAACTATGGAGCTCAGGGCTGCAACAAGAATTCTGGAGACAGAAATTCTACTTCTGGAACAGTGGTAGTAAACCTAAGGTGTGTGTGCTGTAGTGGGCTGTTTGTGTTACTAAAAGCTTTAAAAGGTTTGCCATTGAATAGGAAGTGGTCGACCCTAGCAGCCACAGTCCCCAGTGCATGGGCACCCCACCTCTTTGTCACCTCTGCTCCAGTGCTCCATGAACTCTCAGGTCAGAAGGCCTCTCCCGAGAGGGTCTGTCTTGGTCCCCTGCTCACACGGGGCTCAGTTGCATAAGGTGCCCTCCTTTATCCTCTCAGGACTGAGTTTTAAACTCTTCTGTTGCACTTATCACCCTTAGACCAGTGTGTTTATGTAGCTCTCCCCCAAAAAAGGTCTCTGTGCCTTGAGGACAGAAAGGATCTCAGATGCCCCAAGAGGAAAGGAACCTCCACCCTGGGACATTGGTCCTTCTGGCCTCAAGAGGGATTCTTCAGCCAGTATGGTGTGTGGTCACGCTGTTTCAGAAGGAAGGGGATAGATCCTGTGGTTTCCTGTCCCCTTTCTCTCTATTCCTACTGTCTGACTATACTGATTTGGATATTGCCACAGTAACCAGCAGTAATAGAAGGTGGATTATGATCTAGCTCACCATGAGCCACTGACACTTGAGTGCTGAAGACTCTCGCATATCTCCCGTTTGTGCTCCAGGAGTTGGCAGTGAATTTTCTCCCCAATATCTTCCATTTTTCCCCTGTGGAAGCTTTTGGTGTTTACGGAAACTTTCACGTCGGTTCTTCAACCCCATGGCATC